GGCCAGCCCACGGGGAGGAGCTGAGCCTTGGCAGCCTGCAGGAGATGCTCCCTTGCTTTCCAGGGACTTGGCATTCGGAAATCCAGGAGAGCAGTTACCTGTCTGACAAGTAGGCTTCTCCTGCCAACTTCAGATTCTTTCTCTGTGACCAGGTTGACCTCTGATGCCCGAAAACATTACATGCTCTCTGCAGGGGGGAGGCAGGCACGTTTGCACCATTTTTGTGGTTTTTTTTTTTTAAATTAAGTTTTAACAGGTTGCTTTTCTGGGTTACCTAAATAATGGCCAGGACTGGCAGCAGGAGAGAGGACAGACAAGTCTGACAACAGAGGAAATGCCACTGGATTTAACCCCACAGTAGCTTTGTCTTCCCATCCTCCACCAAAAGCACACCTGTGGGGGCATGCACAGGGTTAGCTGGACACAGCAGGGAGCTGAGGGAATACTCTTAATTCCAGCTGAAGGTGCAGTGACTAATTCCATAAAGATGAAGAAAAGACACCAGTGCATTTGCTCGGTTTAGACTCCTCCTGCTGTGGGCTGGCCATCGTGTCTACCTTCCTTCACTCTCTCTGGGGATGCTGAAACCATTTGTGCTGACAGAGAGGCCTTGGTGGGTGTTGTGCTCTGTCTCTGGTCTGCCCAGTGTGTTACTGGAGAAACTGGTACCGGGCCTTTCTCCCTGCAGTGAACAGCCAAGCCTTTTAATAAAATGAATAAACCCAGACGTGTCTGATGCTTTTGTCACTGTTTTGGAGTAAAGCCCGGGGACAGAGCTGGGAAGTCTGGGTGGTGCTTGTGCTCTCCCTGTGTTTGTGCCTGACCAGACTGGGAGGAGATGAAATAAGGGAAGGAGCCAGCAGGGATATGCACTGTGTGGTGTGATTGTTGTGGGCACAGCCTGAACAAGCACAGACTGCACAAACTCTGCTCAGTCCTGCAGTAGCAGTGCAGCTGCTCTAGCACACACAGATGCTCACAGAGGTGTTTATTTTGCACAGCTTCCCTTGTGCAGAGGTGTTTCATCGGCGAGCATGCGGGTGAGGAGCGCCTGGCTCTGGTGGTGTGCCGAGTAAGGCAGGATTAATCACACAGAATCACAGACTGCTTTGGGTTGGAAGGGACCTTAAAGACCATTTAATTCCACTCCTCTGCCATGGGCAGGGACACCTTCCATAGACCAGGGACGCCTTCTATTGACCAGGGACACCTTCCACCAGACCAGGTCGCTCCAACCTGGCTTCGACCCCTTCCCAGGGATGGCGCAGCCACCGCTTCGCTAAGCACAACCCTGTGCCAGCGCAAACCTCACAGAGGAGGAATCCCCTGCACACATCCCGCCTGCGGCAGCGTGAACCCATTCCCTCGTGCTGTTATATTTGCAATAAAGCCGCTCCCCGGTGTGACCGGGCGGGTCGGGACGGGTGGCCCCGGGCTGGGTCGGTTCCCTCCGTGTGCCCGCTATACCGCCGGTTCCCTCCGCACTCCCCCTTTTCCCGGTATTCCCAGCATTCCCGGTATTCCCAGCATTCCCGGTATTCCCAGCATTCCCAGCATTCCCCGTCTCCCCCCGGCCCCGGCGGAAGCGGAAGCGGCGCCGCCGTTTCCGTGTCCGGTGCCCTTGGAGCGGACATGGCGCTGGCGCTGCTGCGGCCCCGCGGGGCCGCCACGGGTGAGTCACCTGCGGGGCGGGCGAGCGGCGCTCCCGGAGCCCCTCGGGGGTGTGCGGGACACCACAGAGGGTGCGGGACACCCCCGGACGGTGCGGGATCCCCCCGGTGACCGCCTCGCCCGCCCCCGTTGTCCCCGCAGCTCTGGCCCTGCTCCGCCGCCCCGCCGTGCTCGCCGCCGCCCATCGCAGCGCCCCGGCCCGGGACAGCCACAGCCACGGCCCGGCCCCGCAGGGACACGGTACGTGCCTGGCTCTGCGTGTCTGGGGGGGTCGGGGCGGGCTGAGATGCGGTTTCGTTCCCCTGAGCCCCCTGGCAGCGCTGGGCTGGGCAGTGCGGGCTGGGGGCGGTGGTGATCCCCCCCGGCACAGCCCCGGCGCTGCGGGCGGGCAGGACCCCGCGGGACCCGCTGGCCCGCTCTGGCCGCGGGGATGTTCCAAACCATGAGGTGTAAAAGCCAAGGGAAGGAGAAAGGGGGGAGACAGTCGTTATTTACAGTGTTTGCCTCCCGGAGCCGCACCTGCTGAAGCTCTTTCTGGGAAGCGGCCGAAGCCCTTCCCGGGAAGCGTCCGGACATCGCTCGCTGATGGGAAGTAGAGAATAAACCTGCTTTTTTTTTTTTTCCTCTTTCCTTGTGCGCCCGCTTTTGGTTTTTCCATAGTGAAGGGCCTTGTCTCGACCTATGGGCTCTTTTCCACCTTATTCTCTCTCCCCTGTCCGGCTGGGAGTGCCTCGGTGGGCACTTGTGCAGCCAAGGGTAACCCACCACAGTGTGTTTGTGGATGTGAGTGTGTGGGGTTTTCCCCGGGTCAGGGGAGCCCCCTTGTTCAGGTGGTACCTCCCCTATCCCTGGAAGTGCTCAAGGCCAGGCTGGATGGAGCTCTGAGCATCCTGGTCCAGTGGAAGGTGTCCCTGCCCAGGGCAAGTGTGTTCAGGACTAAATGACCTTTAAGGTCCATTCCATCCTCAGCATTCTATGATTCTATTAAAAAGGGTTAAAAGGAACCAGGTCTTGGTCTGGGTCTGCCAAGGGACCAGGAGAGGTGCAGGGATAAAGGACAGAGGTGATGGAGGTGGTTGTGGCACAGTGTCAAGGGCACAGGAACGGGATGAGCTTAAGGTCCCTTCCAGCCCAAACCAGTCTGTGATTCCGTAAATTTTTTGGCCAGGTAAAGGATTTTAAGTGGCAGCTGTGAGTAACTAAGGGCAGAAGGGATACTGTGCTATTGCGGTGGCTCTGGTTGTCTGTAATGTGTTACCATCAACTTCAGCAGCACTATTTGCACTTAACAGCATTTTGATTTGCACTTAGTCTGGGTCTGATTTAAAACAAGGTCTGTGTGATGTCACACTGGTGGGATTTGAAACTGGTGTTTGGGATGTCAGTGTCCAGTGTGGGAGTGCTGGGAGTCCTTAAATAGGAGATATCGACTTGTTGCTGAATAGTAAATCTCTGCTCATTAACAAAGGTGTGGGAAAAAAAGGTTGAAATGTTTTTAGGAATCAGAAGGTTAAACTTAGTATGATTCACTAGCAGTGTTGTGACTGCAGGTTAAGGGTGTTTGTAGCCATTTCAGTGCACCTTCAAGTGGAAAACACGGATAAATGCTTCATTAACTAAGAAAAGAAATTGGCTTAAACATGGCTAAGCCTTTTCATTCCTTTACTATTCTGGGTTTCATATTAACCACAGACTTCCTGCGTGTTTGTGAAGGGCTCTGGGCCATGGAGTTCTACAGGGACAGCTTTATTTTTTATTATTATTTATTATTCCACAGACTTATTAGTCCACAAATCCCTCTTGTGTTTTGCTTCAGGTCCTTTGCTTTCCTTATCTTGTCACTTTCTAAGTTTCTTTTCTCCTCGCAAAAATAAACATTTGTATTTTGGTTTAGGTGGATGGATGTTATCTGTGTGTTAGGTAAGCACTTTGGGGTATTGTGTTATAAAGGTAATTTTGTAGAGTCGTTTCTTGATGTTTTTAGCCTGGGCTGATGCTGACATCCAAGTATTGCTTATGGTGTTAAGGTTTTGGGTTGCTCCACAACCTTCTAGGTGTTTTTTGGCTTTTTTCCTCCTGAACTGTATTTGCATGATTCCAAAAAGTTGGTTACAGAGCTCCCTAACTGATATTTCTGTTTCTAGAGTCACCTGTTAACGTGGTTCAGATTGTGCCCAGCTGAGTATCAGTGGAGGACTGAAATCCTTGAGGTCATAGGTGGTGGTCCCTGAGTTTAATCCTGTTCTTTACAGCTAAAAATAGCAATGTTGGTTCCTGGGCAGACCTGCACAGAGTCACCATGATGTGCCATTCGCTGGATCTCGTAGCTGGGTCTGTCTGGGTCCCAAAGCCATTTCTCAGAAAGTGGGAGAAGTAAATGGCAGGAAAATCACCAGACAAAGATGCTTTGCCTTTAAAGACACTCCTTTCCAGTGACACTGAAAACAGATCTCTGTTCTACAGCAGGAATTCCAAGGCATGTCATTTTGCCTGGAGGAAGGCTCAGTGACCAGCTCACAGCAGACACGTGTGGTGCTGCTCAGGGGGAGGTCTCTGCTTCTCAGGTCCCAGCACTTGGAAGAGGGGCTTTGCCCTGAGAACTGTTTCTCCTTGCAGGAGGTTCCAAGGCTGCGTCCTTGCACTGGACAGGGGAGAGAGCTGTCAGTGTGTTCCTGCTGGGGCTCCTCCCTGCAGCCTACCTGTGCCCAGGACCCGCCGTGGACTATTCCCTGGCTGCTGCCCTCACCCTCCACGGCCACTGGTAAGCACAGAGTCCCTCAGGATTGAAGTCAGGGTGGCTCCAAGCCTTCTGGCTGAAATCTGTCCATGGCAGCAACTCTGCTGGCTTTTCTCCTGATGTAGGGCAAAACACCTGGAAAGAGGCAACGTCCTTGGTCTCCGAGTTGTGGTGACCTTTCACAGGAGTGGTTGTACCTTGGCCTTCCTTTGCCACACAGTTCTCTCAGAAGACAGAATATATATTACTATTGAGGAATCCATAAAAATCCTCCAGTGTTCTGCACAGTCTGACCTCAGGAGCACTTCCTTGCCACTGGATGTGTAGGATCTTGGGTGTTTTTATCTTGTAGAAGAATCAGTGTTGTACAAATGGAGGGAACAGAAAGAGGGCACACCTATATAAACCAAGTTCTTCCTTTAAAGCTCTGTGCTGTGGGCTGGCTTTGTAATCTCAGTGGGGATGAGGTTCTGTGAAGAGCTCACAACAAAGACTCCACTAGAGCAGTGGAGACCTGGATTGTTATTTCCTTGATTCCTGGGGAATGGATGCTTGCTCCTTTTGTTCTGCTGTGGTCCTTAATCAGTTGGGACAAGGAGTGGATCCAGCTGCATGGTTGGCCAGACTGGCAGCCTTCACCTTCTTGAGGTGAGACTGGTTTGGAGTTCCCTGCCACAAGGATAAAGCAGATTTTTGTGGTACTTCGTGGTACCAGGTTTTCTTAAATCTCAGTTTTTCCCCTCAAAATTTGTGCCAGGGATTCTTGCACTTTCCTCACTCGGACTGAGAGCTTCTCCCCAGAGCTTAACAGCATCCTGTGTCTTCTCTTGCTGCATAGTTTAAATCCAGACAAGAGGTCATTTTCAGTCTAACAGATACAGGAAAAAAACCCCAAAGTGTGGTAATTTCATTGGTTGCCACCCTTCTAATCCCAATACACATCCAGAAGCTTTCTGTGCCTTTGTGGCAAAGGCTGGTCCCCGATCCACACCGTGCTCTTGAAGCCTGAAGGATATTTCCTTTGTTTTTCCTCTTCTTCAGTCCTTGGAAGTCAGAGAAGCTGCTCTCTCTTGGAAGCAGATTCTAAGGATTCTGTTGTCTGAGGAGCTGTGCTCAGCACCTTGTTTCCTCAGTACCATTAACAAAACCTGGAGCCAATGTGTGTGTTTTCTAACAGAACATGTGCAATTTTGGTTTTAAAACAGACGCCTCCTTTTTTTCTTGATGTGAGCGGGTAAAAAATAAATGTTTGAGGCATCTTGGAATGCTGGCATAAACTGGGTGGATTTGGTGGATTTCAGTGGATGGTCTTGCCTGATTCCAGCTTTTTTCTCTTGTCCTGTAGGGGTCTTGGCCAGGTAATCACTGATTATGTCCACGGAGACACAGCCATTAAAGTGGCCAACACGGGGCTGTACGTGCTGTCGGCCGCCACCTTCGCCGGCCTCTGCTACTTTAACTACCACGACGTGGGGATCTGCAAGGCTGTGGCCATGCTCTGGAGCCTCTGAGGTGCCACCAGAGCCCCTGACACACACGATTGTTGTTCTCTGCTGCCTCTGCTTCATCGTATTTTTACCACCATTTAACGCGAAACGAGTGCAAAGCCAAGGGTCCGTAGTGGGAACGTCCTGCAGGGAGCTCAGAGCCCTCTAGAATTAAACACCCAACAGCAGCGAAGATGTTGGAGAAGAAACAGTAGATTTAAGCTGGATAATGTCCATCAGAGCCAGGTGCTTTAAGCTGTGCTGTAAATTGGGATGAATTAATTACACCAGCGAGGTGGTTTAAGCTGCGCTGTAAATTGGGATGAATTAATTACATTGGTGACAGACTTGCAACTGTCCTTGTAATGAGAGCTCTAGTGGGTGTTTTTTAACTGTTGTTTGGTTTCCTGTTTTGTAAAACTTGTGGAAAATTGAACTGCTTCTTCTGACATCACAACAACTGGCCCGTATGCAAGGCAGACCCTGTAACTCTTTGGACCCTGAGAGTTGGTGTAGAAAAGGGAATACTTTTTTCTTAATCCATGCAATAAAGAATTTACAGAAATCTTGTGTGTGCTTCTGAACCATTTGTTACTAATTCATACTGTTCCTCTGCCTTGCTTCATTTGGCTGTTATAAAACAAAACCTTTAATTCTTAGAAGTGACTTAGACTTAATACAAGAGTAATTAATGTCCCTTAGAAAACAGAACAATTGGCCTAGAAGAAAAATACTTTTGCCTGTTGATTTTAGGAGCATCTGACCTTCTGGGTTTCCCCGGAATGTGAATGTTTCTCTGTAGCATTTCTGGGGGTTTGTTTTCTAAATGCACTGGTCTGTATTGTCCTGGGTGACTGAAAAGGCAACAAACACAGCCTTCCTGTCATAGCTCGTCGTGAGGGTGATGCAACACTCTTCTGTGTGTCTTCAGGGCTTAGAGCATTTCAGGGGGGAACTGAGATTCTGAACTTTATCTTTTTGGACCTTCACTGTAGCAGGCAGTGAACAGCTATTTCCACATTCTGCTGGGACATTTGTGGTGCTATTAACGGTAAGAGGAAGAGAATTCTGTGCTGCCATCAGGCTGATTACGCAATAATGCCCAAGTTCTGTTTAAATTCTACAAGACTTTTTGATTTGATTGGTTTTTTTTTAATCTGGACTGTTACTTTTAGTTAGTTAGTTAGTTGCTTACTTGTGCAATCATAGGCAAAAGCAGGTAACTGGCCAAGTTTTTTCAGTCTTGTGGTGAGAAGGAGCCGGGTGCTTTGCCTGCTGTGGTCTGGTTTAAACACCAACATAACAATCATTATTTTGTCACAACTGAGGAAGGTACAGATCTGAGTCACGGGAAAGTCCCAGGGAACAGTCGGAGTTTATATCGTAGAAAGTGTTTGATATTTCCCATTCTGAGCCCAAACCCAGGGTGCATCTGCACGTGCTGGTGGTTTAAGATAATTGTATGAGAAATTATTTATCTAAGAGCTCTGGGAATGTTTTAGTCCAGATCTCCCATGTCAGGGGTGGCAGCTCTGAGAGCAGAGTGAAAAGGGAATGAACACACCTTCCTCCCTGAGTCCCCTGTGTTCCTCAGGCCTCTGGAAACTCAAACCCTTGGAACTACTGTTAACTTTTGCTCTTAATTCTTGTGGTACCTGGAGAAGAATGTCCCTGTGTAGCTGAGATGGATGAAGACACTCAGGAAATAATTTTGATGCGAAACAAAGGCACTCTCCAAGTGTTTTCTGACCAGGTGCTGCTATGAAATCTGTTATTTTAAGTGTTTTTCCTTCCCTCCCCCAAACAGGTCCCCTGCATCTCTGAGGTACCTCATTCAATTAGCTCAACAGGCATTAAAGATTTTAGGGATCAAATTCTACATGTACATTCACATTGTTGTTTCCTCATTGTGTAATTTTCTTCTACCTGACTAGAAAACACTCTTCTGCTTCTTTTTTTGTCAAAAACTTGCATTTATTATTTTAAATGTTTATTTCTTTTATAAGTACTGACTTATGGTAGTTAAAACAGAAAACTGGCTTGTTTTGGATAAAGAAAGACTGAAGTTTCTTTTATAAAAAGCCAAAATATATTTTAAAACTGTTGGAAGTCTGTCATCATAGGTTGTGACTTTAATTTTGACCGAATTCAGACAAACTTATCTTCATGGTTTCATCCACTCCATCTTTTCCTGACAATTTCTTTAGGATTAATTTTCTTAAGTAGCCTTCTTCCTTAAAGGCCAAGAACATTCCTTCTTCCAGTGAGTATTCGAACTTAAATGCTCTGGAGCAACTCGACGTAAACGTCTTTTTGAAAAAGATGATGTTGCTTTCACCAGGAATGTCTTTGGGAACTTCTCCTTCCTGAGGAAGAAAAAGGGAAGGTGTTAGTGCCAGCACAGGAGCCGAGCAGTTGTGTTGCAGCTCTGCCAGGTCCGGGTTGTTCAGTTTGCCCCTGACAGGCAGAGCAGGCGTGGGAGGCAGAGGCTCACCTTGAATCGAACGATCATTTCCCCACGTTCCTTCTCACAGCACATGTAATAACTTTTGTCTTCTATCTGCACACTGAAGGCAACAGGCAGCCCTGCTGCAGGGGTGGTGGTTTTGTAGCAGTGGATGGTGAAGTGCATCCCTTGGCCTGAGTAAAAATGGTTTATTATTAATAGTCTGCTCAGGAGAGAGCTGCAACCACCTCATTATATCTTACATTCCACTGGCAACTGCTGGCTGCCTTCCCTGGATAATCTTCCTGATACAAGAGCCAGGACTTGGGACTCATAAATAAATATGTGCAACAAATACAGTTCTGAATAAATTGCTGAAACACCCCCAAAAAATCAAAGCCAAAACTGTAAGTATATTGTTAACTACTACTGTTACAAGAAAGTAAGAACTTTTAGTGCTAATACACTGTTTAAATTTTAAAATTACTTTTGGTAACCCGACATAAAAAATAATAATTCTGTGATCAGAGCTAACCAAAACTCTTAACAGTCCTTTTTCTGCTTGTGACACACTGCAGGCTCGGCCTAATCCAGAAACCTCATCCTTCCCCAATGCACAAGACACAAAATTTCAGCTCTCTTGGCTCATCTTCATTCATACAAACGAAGTTTAAATCCTTACTCTCAGCCTCATCTTTTAGAGTCAGTGATGGAAAGAACAAAACCCCCTGCAGAGTAAAGGAGCAGTGCAGTGGGCACAGGTACCAGATTGCATCTCCTGGTCTGTCACATCCTCAAAGGCTGCCAGGTTGAGATCTGGGCGAACCACCAGCAACTGGCTGTTCACGTTCCGAAGGACTCTGTGCAGAGCCTTTTCCTTGCAAAAGGCATCACATTCCAGCTCTGGGGAGATAACAAGGAAGATTTTTTAATATTTCAGCTCTGACAGCCCCCTGTGAGTTTGTTCTTGTTGTTAAGGACATCACGTGTGATGAGTTCTTAGAATGACAACCGCAAACAAAAGAAGGCCGTGTCATTCTTTCCACCTCTGGCTTGTGGCAACCCAGGATTTCCCAGAATACAGCAATATTTATATCTGAGCAAGAGAAGCTGCTGTGCCTATTGGTGAGAATTCAGATGCAACAGTTCTGTCTTTTGCCCAGCAATTAGAATGGCACGAAAAGGTGCTGTCAGGGAGGGCACTGCCCTGTACCCGAGGAGGAATTCAAGCAACACGAGCTCCAAGAAGGAGCAGGGCAGCTGTAGCTCTCTTTTTCTTGCAGTAGCCAAGTTTGAAACTTGTCCTCTAAGGCACACACAGAGCATCTGTGGGTTAGTAGAACACCAGCAAGTTAGTTCATGTAAAATTGGTGGTGAAGTGACAAATGATGAGCTCTCAGCTTACCATCGTCGTCTTGGTCCCCAGTGAGCGACGAGAAAAGAAGAAAAAGGAAAGGAAAAACAAGATTAATCTCTGCCCCCACAAAAGAAACCACTTTCCACCCAGGCAAGGCTTGAGAGCCAGGCAGCCACCTACGTGTTCCCAGTTGCACTCCCCAGGCTGAGCTGGTGTCACCACAGAGAGTGTTTTTATTTGTGAGCCAGACAAATTCATGGCGATGATGAAAACATCAGTCATTTGAGAACTGCAGTTACCACCAAACCAGAGGTATGCAAAATGGTTTAGGGTTATCTAAGGGTGAACAGGTCTGTTTAAGCCTGTAACTGAGGAATAATTGCACGAGGATTTTTGTTTTAATCAGAACCTTCATTCTGAGTGAGCAAAAGGACAAGAATCTAATTGCTTCTAAAGAAGAAACTGTTTTCTAACTGACTTTATAAGATTGGAATTTATTCCCTTACTCCAAGCCCACCCCACAGTATTCCAACTTTCTGAGTGTCCTTTACAACACTTAAAACTGAAGCTTATGGCAAAATTAGTTGAAATCAGACCAACAAATTACTTGCATTAAATCAGTATTCAAGCAGGAAAGGTTATTCAATGCTTCCCAGATAATAATTACCAATAAAATAGAGGCAGAGGTTTTTTCCAAGTTTTACTGCACACACCAGGATCTCGTCAGCACTCATCTTCACCCTGCCAGAGGTGCAGGGAGAGGGTTCAGAGTTAAGCACAATGCTTCTTTATAAACCTAAATCCACACAGACTTCCCCTATGAAAGACTGAACTGCCAAAATACCCAAAACTTAGTTCCCCCTGTGACTGCCCCTACAAAGGGCTGTGTCTTTGGCACCTGGAGTTGGAATTGTGGAGGTTCTTCAGGAAGTTTGGATGGAATTTATTTTGCAATAACATTGATTTGCTTATGGTGTTTTATCTCAACTTGAATTCTGATCTTGATTTCACAGCTATTCTCTTTCAAGAGTGACACAGAGAAGAGGGAAGAAGAAAGGATATATTTCCCTTAGGAATAACAACAATCATTTTATTACAGAAAAAACCCAAACAAAATCCAACAAACTCTGAACTAATCATTGAAGACCAGTCAACTTCTGCACCTTGGAGGTTCCAGCCCTTCTTAAACACTTCAGGGGTAATTAGAACTGATCCAGGGCTGCACTCTGCCTCTAATGCCAACATACAACCAGGGATTCTGGAAGAATAATTGGTGTTAACGAAGTGACTCAGTCTGACCATTCAGGAGATTCCCTGGCAGCCACATTCCCCGAGGCCAGAGAAGTTCACTGCTGGGACCATCCCCGGCTGTTCTCTCCTTCTTCAAGCCCTTTGTCAACCAAAGGTGTGGCAATTCACAGCCTGTTGTCCTGGGCTCCCACCCAGAGCTCAACCTCCACTTCAACCTGCACCTCAACCTGCTGCTTGCAAACCTCCCTGCACCAGGGTTTTAGCTTTGTTCATATCCCTTGCACTAAATAAATGCATTAAAACCAGGAGAACAGTAGGAAGATCCGGCTCTTGCACTGGTGTTTCATTGTGCAATCAGAATATCCGGCGTCCTTCCAAAGCTTTTTCATCACTCCAGAAAGATTTTCTATACAAAGAAGCTGAGCAATATCAACTTGCACACACCCATCAGCCACAGGGACTGGGGAATTTCCTTGTCCCTTCAGTAAAGCACTTTTAAGTACGTATTTGAGAGTGATTTTTTTCTTATCCTGCTTCTTATAAAAAACCCTAACGGTCTTTAGTTTGTGCAGAAGAGACACCCAGGTTCGCTGCATCTTTTGTTTGCAAACATGCACTCGAGCCTTAGAAACACCCCAACACCAAACCCTGCAAGCCTCATCCACAGCAAATTAACCAACAAGCCAAGGACTGCTCTGTTATTCTGGAGCGGAGGGGAAGGGGTAGGCAGGACTTACTGATTTGAGGCCCTTTGGTTTAATGGGTAAAACACGTAAAGTGACTGCGCTTCTTCCCTTGATCACTGAATCGGAATCACAGAATCATTAAGGCTGGAAAAGACCTCCAGCATCATCAAGTCCAACCGTGACGCAGTAAAAAGAGCAGGCTTGAAAGGCTGAAAGTTCTTAGGTGACTGTTCGAGGTGGCGTGGAATGACTCACCCTGTGGAAAAGCGGGATTGCGGGGCGGGAGGAGCTCAGCGTGGGTGGCAGCAGAGCCCGCGGTGGTTCTTGCAGCCTCCTCGGCGAGCTGCAGGCGAATGAAGGGAGCCGGACAGACGGGCGGGGAGCGCCGGGACCCGCTCCCGCTGCCGGGCTCGGGGTCGGGAGCGGGGCTCTCCCGAGACCGGCAGCGGGGGATGCCCGAGCCGCGGGGAAGCGGTGGCCGAGCGGCGGGGCCGGGCGGGGAGAACCTTAAAGCGGCTCTGCGGCAGAGGAGGTCTGGGCGCGTTCCCAGGGTATCTGCCGACGTCTGCGTTTGTGGCGCGGCATTTCCCCTCGCCGGAGACGCGGCACATATGCAAATGTGGGCGCTGGGGAAGGCTGGATGCGCTCCCGTGATGTCAGCCAGCCGGTCCGGGAGGTTTGGAAAACAGGTACCGCCCGTCCCCATCCCCGCTTCCCCTTCCCCGGCTTCCCCTTCCCCGCACGCTGCCCGGAAACGCCGCGCCCGCCCTGGCGGGAAACCGGTTTGGGACTGGGAACATTGCATTGTAAGGATGATTATTAGCCAGGCAGGAGGGCGTTCGGCTGTGCAGCTCGATGGGTAAATGGGAGAGGCTGAACTTGTAGGGATGAAAAAAAAACACACAAACCCCCCAAAGGCAGCAAGTGATGGAGGGAAACGAGAGATTATCCCAGAAGAGACGCCTAAAATCCTCCCTTGGACTTACTTATGTAGCTAAGACCCCAAGACACTCCCTCACCTTCCCACGTGCCTGTTACTGCCCTTGGAGAGGGGAAAAAGAAAGGTAGGAATGCTTTAATATCCATCTGATAAAAATAGGCAGGTAATTCTGAGGTCAAAGGCACGCTTCCAATCTCATCTGAGATGATAACCATAAAGATTAAAATGCTGTTTTACTAATAACTGTGGGTTTGAATGGGTTTACCCTCCAGCACCTCACCGACATGCTGGAATAAAAACCAGCTGCAGAACTGACGTGCTTTCTTTAAACTTGTTCCGAGAAACTGATGGCATTAATTCCAAAGGATTTTTAAAAAGCAACGGAGTAAAACCTCCTGTTTGCCAGAGACAAACAAAGAAAAGTACGTTTTTGGTAACTGCTGTTTCAAATAATAAATATATATCCCTATTTACAGGCACTCACTGAATTCCAGCAGGACATCAAAGTTGTATCATTCCATTTCAAGCTCCTGTTTTGTTACAGTTGTGTTTACCTAAATCTGCATCCCAGGGAGATCCAAATTTAATTTAAACACCCCAATTAGCTGATTTCTATATACAGCAGCTGTAATTCCACTGTACCCCTTGGTGTGTTGTTTGAATGGTTGGTTCTAACAGGAGAAAAAAAAATAAAATATATATCTTTCTAAATTTAACTGACTTCTGTTTCTGGTCACCCATTTCTGTACTTTTTCCCGATAGACATTTCGTAACAAATAGTTCCTTTCTGCAAGTAGGATCAAAATGCCTCTTGGTCTCTTTCAATTAAAATAAACAGTTCAGCCCTTTTAAGTTTCTTCCTCTGAATAATTTTTTTCTGCTTCAAAATAATATTCACGTCTCTTTTATTCACTGCAATTGACTTTTAATATTTTTCAAAAATTTGGGCACCAGAGCTTTATTCAGGGCAGTTCCCCATTTGGGTGATTCTTGTTCCCAGATACTTTTCATTTCACTGCAAAAGAATAAAAAAAAAAATGATGCTGTATCAATAATTTATCATTTAGCCATTTTTTTCTCATTAAGTTTAAATACACGTTCAGATAACTAATGAAACATTAAATAATATTATACTTGGCAAAACCAATGCCAGTCAGCCAGTATTATTTACTTTGTACTAACTGCTGGCACTAATATTTTTGGTCTATTGATATTAGAAACAAAACTATCAGGAAGGAGGATTTGGTCTTTTTTGTCAGCCTTTGAGAGCCTAAAAATCAATAAGGTCATTTAACACACTGAATAAAAGGTGTTCCCTTCTCTTCCTCTGCAAATATTTGCATTTATTAAGGACCAGACTCTAACTCAAACAATGGCTTCTGTGATAAGATTTAAGCTTTCATTTTTCCTGGCATTTAATATCTCCAGTAATAAGGGAACTGGAACTATTTTTAGAGTAATCACTTCGATGATTTTTCTCCAATCTTGAAGGATGTGGAACTCCAGTAAGAGTTAGCTCTCACACCTAAATTAAATTTTTTAATTTATTTTATATTTAGACTGAGGTTTCTCCATAGACTATCACATCCATAACGTACTGAGAGCGGTAAAGAAAATTCAGATGTTTAACTTCTTCTAATTCACATGGTCTGTTAATAAAAATATCTTGGCCAAATTCCAAGCCCAATCTATCATATCTGTTTCATAATGTTTAGATAGTATCGCTAATAACATAAATATCTATAAAATGTTTGAGAATAAGTGAGTTGGGCTGTGTCAGCATATTGAATATTGTTTCTACTTTGGGGAAGTATTTAGTTCTCGTTATTTCAGCAGTTTAATTTCTTGTACCGAGATCCTTATTTCAGAGCCTAATCAGATAACATATGTGAGATTAAGATCCTTTCTTTCTTAAAAAAAGAAATTAGAGATATTAAAAAAAAAACAAACCACAGAAAGACAGCAAAACAACTCAGAGGCAAAATTTACTTCACTCCAACATGACTTCAAATGGTTAAATAATTTCTTTCACTGTAGAGAAACCCTTTGAAGAAGAAAAAAGCTGGTCTCGGCAGTTGTGCATTTTTGGCGGTGCTCATTTTAGTGACTGCTGTCTCAGGTTTTACTGATCGATGGCTTGAGTTTCGAGGCGGATCCAGCGGCGGATGATCCGTCCGGCGTTTCAGGTGCTGCAGGGACTTGGGACCGGGTTAGAGGAGACGAAACACGTTATCTGGGGGGACAGCTCGATGTTTGAGTGACTTCAGGTAGAATAATCTTTAATTCGGCAGGGATGGGGACGGCTGAGGCAGGAGCCGCTCCGGAGCCTGGGCAGGAGCTCTGGGGGTGCTGCCAGCCCTGAGGGGAGCGGGGCATCCCCTGTCCCCATCCCCTGTCCTTGTCCTCATCCCCTGTCCTTGTCCCCATCCCCTGTCCCCATCCCTTGTCCCCATCCCCTGTCCCCCTCCCCTGTCCCTCGACCCCCGTGCCCTCACGGACGGCCCCTCACGGCCATTCCCTGCCCAGGGCCCGCCCAGAGCCGGAGGGGAAGGCGCCGGTCTGAGGGTCCCCGTGGTCCTCCTGGGCAGGAGGGGACCGGGAAAGAGATAAATCCCCTTGGCTATGGATTCCAGGCACCCCAGGCTGTGCCGGGACACCCCCGGACCTGCCCCCGCCGCCTCCAGCCCCTCAGGGCGCCCTGAGGCGCTGCCCCTCGGCGGGGAGGAGAGCTCCTTCGCAGAGGTGAGCGCTGCAGGTTTTACACGATTTTGCATAAATATCCCCCCCAGCCGCACGAGGTGACGGCTTAGCAAACACCCCCCGCTCTTTGGCAGGCAGCGATGGCGAGCAACGCGCAAAAATCTGAGGAGAGTGGGAGTAAACGTCAGAGGATGGAGGTGAGCGGTGCTGAGGCAGGGAGGGAGGGAGCGAGGGAGGACGTGGACCCTCATTCCATGTCCTGCTCTGGATTCCTGGCCCGGAGAGAGGGCACAGAGCTCCGCGTAACTTCATGGAGGTTTGGGGAACCAGGTATGACTTTCTTGTATGAGGAAACCGCAGCTTCCCTTAGCGTTTGAAGACCAGCAGAACTGGGCGTGCACTGAGACACAGTTATGTGGAACGTTTTGAGAGTGAGCTGCTGAAATACGCTGGCTTTTACTGATATATATGTATATCTATAAATACATAGATATACACACATATATATACAGTATGTATATCAGTGTATGTATAAAAAAGTATGTGTATATTTACAGAGATCTCAAGCTGGTACTTCCCACCCATGCTGTGCCCGTTGGCAATGCCCCGAAGCCAACACCGCTTGCATTTTCTCTAAATACAGTTCTCTCGAGATCTTTTTAAACCTCTTTCCCTCAGTTAAACTCCGTGCTACAGCTCGTCTTAAGTCCTAGAAGCTGTATTTTTTTAATGTGCTCTGTTATTAGAATGAAGCGTCAGAAAATCCTCAGCTGTCCTTCCCTGACAAAACAGATCTGGCTCTTTCTGAGGACTCGCAGTCCCTTTACGACACTGAACCACTGGAAAAGGTTTTAAACGGTGACGTATTAAATATACTGAAAGTAAGTATGTAATTACCTAATTTATGTTGAGATCCACTCAGATTTTTTTTTTCTTTTTGCAGATATGAGCAAAGAAATTATGACCTTGTTATCAAAATATGCTAACATTATAAGGCAAGTTAACTTTGTGCTATTTGTACAGCTTCTTTCTAACTTCTCTAGACAAGATGGAACTGAGTATTAATGGACAAGATGTTTTTAAGAAAAGCATAAAAGCAGCTTTAAGTAGTGAGAAGGTTAATGGCATTAGTGGTGATTTTAACAGCAGATTTTTTCACTTAAGTGAGACAGCAGCGATGGAGGCTTCTTGTGTCCAAGAACTGGAAGGAATCTTAAAAGAAGCGAGGGACATAGACGAGGACTTAAAGCAGAAAAGGGAGAGTCTGAAACAGAGATTCACTGTCATGGCAAACACCCTGCAGGGATAAATGGAGTTCATTCAACTGCGGAAGTGCAGAGCCAAACTCAGTCTATTTTGTGTATTCAGACAAACTGTGAGGAGTGTTATTATGTCTGATTCTTAGGTAAATATTTACGGCACTCCAGGAAACCTTCAACAACTTAAGTAGCGACTTATACATAGTTAGTAAAACCAGTTCTTAATATCTGTTTTAAATCCTGTGACTCCAAGGTTTTCAAACACTAAAACATAAGGATTTTACTCGTTAACCCATTGAACATAGTACAGAAATTTCCCTGTGAAACACAGAATTTTGTAAGTGGAAAAGACCCTCAGATTATTTAATTCTAATAATTTTCTGGGTTTGTTTTAGTTTTCGGGGTTTTTTCTTTGGAAAATGTTTTGGTGCTAAAGTCTTTGTAGAATGTACTTGCAATGTTATTTCAGTTTTGTCTCAGAATACAAATAGGTTGAAGAGATCAGCTTAGAAATAGGAGAGTTCTATTAAGAAAAATACTTTGGGAAATGTATAAAGTCTTAATTTGAAAATGCATTTAATACTTGTACAGCTTTTATGGCCATTTTGATATAAACATTAAAGCACACAATCAAAACTTTGTGATGTCAATAAATAACTAGACAATAATAACGTGGTCTAAAATGCTCTTTTATTTTGGATACATGAGTATTGTT